TTACTCAGAGATAATGCGCAGGAGCTAGCTGATAAAGACACAAGGTACGATTAGACATAATTGGAATCACACAAACAGGGGCTCTGGAATTTTGAACCTCTGCGAGTCGAAGCTATTCTTTTCAAGTACCGACATCTCGATGTGCGCTCAGACCGGTATCAGGGTTCTGATAGAATTCAACCTAGTTTAGAGAATCGTTGAATAGAAGCCTGTCGGGTAAGAGTAGCAATCCTCTAACTGAAATTGAAACAGCTTAAACCTTTGATCTTGTTACAGGTCTGTACGTCGAATTTGGAGATAGAATATGAGTCCTTCCTGGAGGACGGAGATGCTGCTCTTTGCGAAGTGCTACGCAGCCCATCATTCTAATGGGCAATTTCAATGCGCATGGTTGGAAAGAACTGACATGGCAACCTCAACAATAGTGATATGAAGTTGTTGCGCTCTTGCAAAAACAACGGACTGTCTATTATGAACACTTTCTTCGAACATCGAAGCGTGCATCAGTATACCTGGTACAGGGAAGCTTGTTCACAGAAGTTGATGATAGATTTGATACCCAGATCGTCTGACTTAATACGCTCTGAAATGGATGTTCGCGTTAAGAAAGACACAGAGCTGTCAACCCCTCACCATGTTGTTGTTGGTACCCTCCGTCGTAAACGGTGGAGTTCAGTGTCAAAACCTGGCGGCAGAGGCAACCAAGTAGTTCAATCGGAAACATAATCGTTTGTGGATAGGAAGTGAAAGCTTGCACCACAACATTGCAAGATAGCTTCAGCATATCCGCTGATGTAGATACCGAATGCATGCCGCTTAAAAGCGCTTACTCGACGCTGTCTTCAAATGATGTGGTCTGAGACGGGTTGGTCTGCCGTGAGGTGCTCAGAAACGAAATTTCTCGTGGACACGAGAAATTCCACTGACTGTCAGCGAGAAGGCTACCTTCAAGAGATGACTCGAATGCCGTGCGAAGATGTGCGCAAGGCTGCAACGAAACAGTGGCAACTGTGAAAGCTGGTCCCTGAGAAAGGCCAGACGAGGTGTTAAATGGAGTCAAATCATGGCAGAAAAGATATCCTGGGAGGCCATCTACCGCAAGATGGAAAGAAAGGCAGTGTGAGAGTCCTGAAGGACATTTCTGGTTTCCCTCTTACAAAATTAAGGATAGACTTCGGCAATGAGAGACAGTTCTTCGAGGAACTTTTCAACACAGAACAACCGCAGTAAGACTCGTCTGAAGAACAGCAGGCAGCGTACACAAGTCTTTCAGTAGATGAAGTCATAGAATTCAGTTTGAAAAATGGCAAGTCTGCTAGAACTGACGAAATCCGTCCTGAAATGCTCAGAGCATCAAGCGAACAAGGCATGTGCTCTCTTACACGAGTCTGTCAAACTGCAATAGGCTATGGGGAAGACACCGGCGGACTGGAGAACGGGTGCTGCTGTACCCCATTTCAAGAAGGAAGACCACAAGGAGTGCACCAGTTATCCGAGCATAGCATTATTGAGCCTCTAGGGAAAAGTCTACGCAAAGGTGCTAGAAAAGAGGCTGTGGAATAACTGGCTAAAAGATGCGAGAAGGACACTGTAGCTGAAGGCTGGCTCATCTGATTTGCATGTGCTTCTTTCATCTGGAGATGATTTATCACGGGATCCTGTACAATAAGCTGTGAGCGGACCTGCAAACGAGTGGGATCATTGCCGGACATTGCACAAACGGGTAAGCCAGACATTACACTAGTATTACGACAATTTTGCACGATCCGACGGGGTCAGTTTGACTGTCTCTGACGAAACATGCGCTTGCGACATGGTCATGATCTCAACGAAAAGTCTTACCTTTTCCGTTTGGTTCGTAGCTCCTGTTGCACGCCATATTGCCGCTTTCAGCGTCGATCGGTAACTGTAGAAATTGCATGACGGATCGAGCTGGATCTCAAGGACCTTCAGCTTGCTTTCGTCCAGCCTAGCTCGGGTCTTGACCAAACGAGCCACCGGCCCAAGGTTCATGCCTCCTACAAAACCGAACGGTTCAGATCGGAATCACTTTACACTCCGTTATGCAAATGTATTCTGTAACAAGTATAGTCAGACTGCGGAAGGACGATTCAGCTGTTTAAAGTATTCGGTAGAAGCCAACGTTTTTTTAAGAAGTTCTGCAAGGAAACATTATATCTCTCAAGTCATTTACCGCATCGCATCTCTTGAGTCAATATTCCGCAGAATGAAATGTGATGGAGCGTTTTCAATGAACAGTCGACGGTTTGCTCATATTCGAATTCCTGCCAACATCGTACTGTTGAAGACGTAGGCAAAAGAAGTTCAAGCCATGAAAGGTGAGGTAAAAACAAGCTAGGTGGTTTTGGGATTAATAGGGAGACGACGAAGATGATGAGAAATTAATTCACACAATCAGCTATAATTACCATCGACGACTACCCAATAGAAGAGGTCGCCGAATATGTCCACTTAGGATAGCTATGCATTTCAAACCACCTGTTTGGTCCAGACCTTGCTGTAGCCGTCGTGGGTGTGAAGTACGTACAGAAGAAACGCTCAAATTCTTGAAAGCAGAAAATTATCTTTGCAGTTAGAACCACATTGAATGAAGGCACCGCCAATAGACCTATACAGTTGCGGGATCTTGGCATTAAGAAAGTGAATGAAGAACTATTGAGAGTGCAGCAGCGAGTCGTGAAAAAAATGAAACGATGAATTTACATCCGGGACAAGCTTCGAATTGAAGTGGTAAGTAGACCCAAAGGAATGTAGGAATCAGTTTTAAAAGAAAAAACGACATTGGATAGGTCACATCACATGGCTGACGGATGACCAATAGGCTTCGCAGTGACCGACTGGTACCTCGGCCTAGAACCTACAGACAGACATGGAAGCCTGTGGAAAAAAAATCACATAAGACGAGAATCGAAATCAGACAAGAGTGGTCCCAGTTAAATACGAAGAAGGATCAGTCACGAATATTAAGAATACAAATGGAGTTGGCAGAGGGGCAATGACGCAGTGGATTTTAA